AGGAAAAATGCAATTTTTGCAAATAATTGGAATGTTTGGTATCCTCAAATATTAAGATCCCTTCGCTACCCCGAGCGCTGCATGGCCTTGTGTGGAGGACTGTTACAGTAAAAATATCCGTTAAATTCTAGTGGCAAAAAATCAATATTACCCAAAAATGCTTATCTAACATATGACTAGTTATATTTAAAAAAGGTACCTCAATTATCTCTTAAAATACAATTGATAAAAGAGAAATGAATACACATATCAATTAGCCTCATTCCTCATGTACTTTTGTGAAAACTGAATTGCAATATCTTCAACGGTTTCGAGTTATTGGTGCTAAAGTTACGTGGCTCATTCTGTATATGTATGTTGTTTTTTTACGGGTCAGGGGAAAATCTTAAGACACTGCAGGGCCCGCAATGTGTGAGATTCATAGCTAGCCTACGCCTACCCACTAACACCCCCTCTCTTTTTATTCCTTCCCGCGGAACCGCCGTCAGGCATTGCATCGCGAGAAGGAAGGATGGGCTTTTCGTACTTCACCGACATATTACAGGACACTTCTTCGTAACTGCTCCTCGGAGCGGAGCGTCTTCAGGACCTTTGCGGCATAGGTGGCTACCGCACTCCAATACTCTTGTGTCATCAGCATCCTAGTGACGATGGTCTCAGGGGCGATGCGAAGCGTGGACAATGAAAGAACACGTGTTCTACATCTTCAACCACCGGGAAACACGTTGGGCATGAGGAGCTATCTTCCAACCGGAATCGGAGCTGATACTCTCCGTAACATCCATGCCCCGTCAGCAACTGCGTTAGATAAAAATATAATTCTCCATCTTCCCTTTGGATCCTCGTCATGATGTCTGGAATGACCCAACTGTCCATCGCCCAGTTGATGATTGCTCCCATCGTCGTTGCCATTGGTCCATTGTCACCCCCCTCTCTTCTTTCGTGATGGTATACCAGTTTGAAGCCATCACCCGCTTGCGCAAGTAGAGTCTAGCTCTCTCCTGCGCAATGAGGTCGATAGGAGGCATATCTGCTAACACACACAGCATCATAGGATACAGTGCGAAACGCTCGAGCAACCCGCAAGGCGAACCTTGTGTGCGCCGACTTAGCCCCACGGGCGTATGACTGAATGCCCATGGCATCAGCCCAAATCGGGGCTGCGTAGAGAAGAATGGAATTTACTACGCTAGTCAGCAGCCTCCGGCTTCTTTGCCCAGGACCCCTTACATTAGGCATAATGCGTGCCAATGCCGATGCCATACGAGACGCTTTCTCGGAGACTTTGCGCAGATGCTCGTCGAAACGCAGTCCCGCGTTACTATGCACTCCTAAATACCTCAGTGACAGCTGCGAGGGTATTTTGCACCCTCCTACATTGTGAGTAATACTCTAACTTTTCTGCCCGTCACCAGCACAGTGTTTTATGCTCGGCCATCTGTAGTCCTACCGACGTAAGACACCGCCGGATCCCCGCCACAGCCTCGTTGGCAACCTGCGTGACTTCTTCGGTGTATTTGTCGACAACTACAATTGCAACATCGTCAGCGAATCCAATAATTCTTGCGCCTTCCGGCAACTCGAGCTTCAACACGGCGTCTTACATAATGTTCCACAACATCGGACCAAGTACCGATCCTTATTGGACACCGTCGGTGACCGTATACGATTTTACTCAAGTGTCAGTTTCATATAGGAAGATCCTCTCGTTAAAGTAACTTTTGACCAAGTTCGAGATGTACCTGGGAACTTCAAGAATTTGTAACGCAGAAAGAATGGAGCTCCATCTTGCAGTATTAAAGGCGTTTTTGACGTCTAGGATCACTATAGCACAATACTTCATAGGACTTCCTTTCCATCGTTTGCCTTCAATGGCCTTGCGTGCGATGTCGATGACTACCTTAACTAATCGAACGTCCTGTAGTTCCAAACAGCTTTCCTTCTACCCCTTGGTGGACTCAACTTGCACTGCTCTTGCACTTCATAGCTTGGTGGTCACTACGTGTATAATGTGCACTAACCTCCCAAGATACAATCCGTCTAGCAAGGCTTTTACAAACGAAAGTGAGGTTAACGACCGAGCTGCGACCATTCATTACAAAGGTCGGACAGGCCCCCGTGTTGCAGAGGCTGACATCCAAACTGTCAAGGCTGTCCAGGAGAGCCACCCCACGTCGATTCTTTACTCTGCTGTCTCACTCCGTGGCCCATGCATTGAAGTCCCCAGCAATAATAATCGGCCCTCGTTATCTCGCGTCATCTATTAAGCGATCAAGTAACTCCTTGAACTCAAGCGATGCACTGAGTGCAGCATAAACACTATAGAAATAAACACCGAACCTCTTGATCCAGGTGAATCCATCCCCTGGGACTTGGACTATTCCCACATATTCATACAGCAGCTCGGTTAGTCGCATCCGAAACCCAGGACTGAAGACCGACAATATTCCTGTACTGCTCGCAGAGAATCGCAACATCTATATTCATCTCGCGCACCGTCTGGGTGAGAAGATCCTGGGCCGCCTCGCAATGATTTAAATTTTGCTGGAGGACTCTCATTTTTCTGTTATCAGTTGCCTTCATTGCTACTTGGTACGCCGGACACGTAAAACTCCCCGTCGGGTGGTCCTCTTATCTTTGCAGAGCACACACCTCGCCTCAGCGCTTTTGCAAGCCTGACGTAAGTGGCCGTCTTCTCCGCATCGGTGACAGGATTTCGACCTGTCCGTCCCTTGGCAGTCGCGCGCCAGATGTCCGAACGCCCAACAACGATAACACTTCCGCACAATTACTTTCTCTCTAACGCGGCAGTTCACCCACCCAATGATAACACGGCCGCTCAATGCCCTCCTGGCTAGTTCCGTCGGTAGACGGATCACAGCTGTTTGTGTGCCTCTGTAAGCCCCCCGCACGTATATGACACTTGCTAGCTCAACAGCTGATTTCAATTCCCCGCTTACAGCTTTAGACTACAGCCGCCGTTGTCAGCTTGTCAGGGTCACGAATCTCGAGAGTCATTTCGTCTCTCCGCGTCGTTACTCTTGCTAACTCACCCAGTTTTCTGGATATAGCTTCAGAGATCTCGGAGGCTGCTGTAGATTTCCGCAACTCCAGCAGCAGGTATCCTGCTGCATTCGTCCTCACCTTTGCGACGTACTCACCAGCATCTTTCAGAGATGGGTCGCTCTTGATCTGCCTTACAATGTCAGCATAGGAAGGGCCTCCGTCATTTCCCTTAACAATAACGAAAACGACTCTGATCGCTTCTTCTCCGCCACTCTCGTAGATTTCAGCGGTCTCTCTTTCCTCAACGTTGTTCGTCCACCGCCTACTGCGGTCCGCAACTCCGCCGCCGCTGTAGAGGGTCCACCACAATCATCAGCATTCGGGCCAATATCAGAAGTCTGCGTCTCCACCTCCACCGTCCTCGAGCCAATCACATCGTTCACTGCGGTTCGCAACTCCGCCGCCGCCGAGGACCTACCACAATCATCAGAATTCCGGTCAGTGGCGAAGTCCGCCTCACCAGTCTTCAGGCCAATTCCATTGTTCACTGCTGCAACTCCGTCGCTGCTGTCGAGGGCCCTCCATAACCATCAGTATTCGGATCAACACCCCATGTCTGCGGTGAGGTTTGCTTCTCCGCCTCAACAGTCTTCGGGCTAATTACAGATATATCATCAAAGTCGGTTCGGATGGAACTCACCATACGCTTTATCTCCCCGTGGACATTATTCCTTGGCAAGACAAAATGCAGGAGATCTCCGATCTTTTTCCCCAACTCCAGAAACTTCACTCTCCTATTCTCTTCCCAGACACTCTTGTGAGCTTGGCTACCCCCCAAAATCCATGGAGCCGGCACCGACCATCGGAGCTTTCACCCGACCAGAATTGGTGGCGAGATTCGGCGTGAACGCTCGACTCACTTGGGCTAGTAAGTTTTGAGGCTCACTCAAACCCATCACTGTTTAATTTTCGTGGTGACCTTCCCTTAGCGTTTTATATGCTACCGCCAGCAGAAATGGAATTGGAAGGAAGGTGAGGTGTATGTATGTATGTATGTATATATATCAGTATTAGAAGTGTACCTGGGTGTGTATGTGTACGTTTTTTAAAGTTTTTCTTTATGTATTTCTTTCAGTTGCAATTGTATTTAGATACAAACAAGCAGAATACAATTATTTACGTGATTTGAAATCTTCCTAAATGCTTTGAATTCTAAAATTTCTTATAGGGAACCTCAAAGGAATTGATTCCCATATTTCAAATGAACAATTGTCAACGAAGAAAACTGGTAAATTATGACTATGCATCACCGGAGATATATTTGTTGGCGAGCCGTGGTGAGCGCAGTTACGCTCTGACCTTGTGAAAATGCTTATCAGTGAAGTCATGAAAAAATTTAAAAAGAGCAAAATCAATTTTCAACTGATGCTGTAAATCGGGGATTAATAATATTCAAACGAAATCTACACACAAATAGTTTCATTGGAATATCAATAATCCCTGATTTACTTCGGTTGAAAGTTGTTTTTTGCTCTACTGTAAAATTAAGTTTTCATGACTTATCAGCTTATTCACCGGGATCAAATATATGATGTTTGTTAAGTTTCTTCATTCAATGTAAATACGAACTGTAGTGCGTTTTACAATTATAACAATTAAATGACATGCATTGAATAATAATAGTAATATTAGCTACGAAAATACAAATTATGTACTTTTAGAAGTGCTAAAAACACCTTTATTAAAATACATATACATGATACTGTACAATTAAAATTATTATTTCGTATACATTTACAATTGAAGGGCTTAGATTGATAATACGAAAAGCTTCACCAGCCATTAGCAGCGTCCACTTATTTGTAAGCATTAATATCCCGATTTTGACGAAAATATGGCTTATTTTGTTAGTACAAGCCTTCTTATTTATGAAGGGCTTAGGGCAGTAACAAGATGAAACTCACTTCCCCCAGAAACGAGATGTTTTTATTCACAAATAGCGGGAGGCTTGGTGTGGCTTATCTTGTAACTCCCCCAAACCCTTGATTTAAAATACAAACATCGAGTTATTTTACGTTTTTATCAGTGTAATAAAATACATTTAACTATTTAAACAACGTCCTCAAATGCTGCTGAATACATCTATTATGCCATTAGTAAATCTCTTAGATTGTTCTCTCTTGTGACAGGCTCCACAGGCTGTTCTTCATGTAACATATGCATATATAATTTGTAGAATGCAATACTTCTCTGTAAAGCATCAAAATTCAAAGACGCATCATTTTCTTCAATAGGTAATTCGGCAGAACGGCTGACCTGAATAAACAAGTAATGAAGTCATATATTAATTACAATTAGACATCTATGACACTACATGCAAATTCTCACTACAATGCCTAATGACAAAAACAAAACTTTTGTTATATACGCACATACTTCCTAGTAATGGTTTTGCACATTCTATCCTACTAATACAGGGTCTTTACTCAACCTCACGACCCATATCTGAGAGCACACCACTTGTTTCGGCAATTTGGAAACGCGTGAAATACCTTTGAGTTTCCCTTCACTTTTACCGACCCACGCCTCGTCGCAGTCGCGTGCCATCCGATTTTGGGGTGGGAGAACGGGGCTACACTCGTATTAGTTGAAGAAGGAGTAAGCACTTATTCTGTCCCTGGGCATTCATTCACATTTCCTTCATGATTGTATGAACTCATGATTGTAGGAAAGAAGAATCGCTTCGAAAATGTTGAAGGATCAACGTGTATTTTTGGTAGAAGATTGCTTCGGTATTAAATCGTTTTTAAAGAGTCAGGAAATGTTTCAAGACAAAATTCCTGAAAAGCCAGTTCCCAACAAGTCCTTAATTTGTAGATTAATCCAGCGCCTCAGGGACGCGGGGAACGTTATGGACAGGAAGCTGAGTCGCAGTGCCACTGTTTTAAAGGAGGTTAAATTAGTAGAAATTCAGGTTTTGAAGCACTCTCCTGAGACGTCGCTGTCGAAATTGCATTAGCAATGCATCTCACAGCAGTGCATATATTGCAAAGAAGTAATTGAAAATGCGCTTTTACACGTGGCAGACCGTTCAAGTACTGAAAACACCAGAAAGGGACGCGCGTATGCATTTCTGCCATTGGTTTAGGAGCTTTATTCAATTAGGGATTCGCGTTCTCGACACTTTGTTATTTAGTTTCGAAGCTTGGTTTTATCAGAACGGAAATGTAAATAAAGATAATTGTCGGCTGTGGTGCACACCGAAACCAAATGCAACTCTTAAAACAACCTCATTCTCCGAAAGTCGGGGTTGGTGTGCCATATTTCGTCGCCGGATTATCGGACCTATTTTTTCATGAAGACCATTACGTCCGCAAAAATTTAGATATTATTGAAAACTATGTCTCTCTCTAATAAAATAAGACGAGGGGTACTACTGGTTTCAGCAAGACGGCGCCCGATAGTATGGATTTCTAAGCGGCCTTTTTTCGAAAAACGAAATGTGTCAAAAGGTCTTCGTTCCCCCAGATCTTACTCCATTGGATTTTTTACTGAGGGGTTTTCTGAAGAGTAAAGTTTATACAAATAAACCAACTTCTCTTGAAATTTACGCAACATCACGGAGTCTATTGAGCAAATTGAAGTTACTCTTCAACGCGTTGCAGCCACTATATTAAAAAGAATAAACGTCTGTCTCTTGGATAATGGGGTTCATTTTGAGAATTTACTCCAAGGTCAGTTTATTGTTATTTTAACGAAATAATTTTATAATTTTTCATTAATTGTTAACAATGATTAATTACTACTTATAAATATTTTATTAATATGTGTACTAACTTTTTAAAGATTTTCTAATTTGTGTAATTTCCAGGTTCCATAATAATAATAATTACATTGATAAAAATAATGAAGAGCTTGGCAATGATGTTTCCCGAGATATCTTTCTGATTTCTCTCTGAGCCGACTTTCATTAAATCGTTGTTATGTTGCTGATAAGAAATCGAAAATCAGTCATAACATCTTCAGTGCTAGTTTTGTTTCTTAAGCACACTGGACATAATCGCCTAAAGAGACGTTTGTTTCCTCGCTTACGCCTCTGTCCACCCACCCAGCGCAGCGCGAAATGATTCTGGTGCGCGAGGCGCGTACATGCCCACTTAGGCGGGAATGGAAAAAACACAAAAATAGGAAAGTTGCTGCAGCTTATGACCTGACGTTCTCTTCCTTCTCTGCTGTCTCAACGTGTCAGCCACTTCCGTCTTGAAAGGAGGCAATTGTAGCTGTAGAAAAATTCCTGGGGGGGGGGGGG